TTTTCAATTCATGATTAAAAGTTATAAAAATGTTTGATAAAAATTTTATATTTTATTTTTTCTTTGTTTTATATTTTTGTTATTTCAAATAAATTGAATTTTATATTGCCTTAAATATAATAAAATTGTTCAAAAAGGTTAAAGAAATTAAATTAAAATTTAATATTTCTAAAAGTGCCCACCCCTAATCCAGCAGCACAATAAATTTAACGCAGATGTCAATTCACAAATTCCACTAGGCGCACAGAATCGCCCAGGAAGCTACGGCAACATCTGTTGCTGGCAACATTGTATCCCGCAACATTTATGTTGCTGTTAACATTGCCTCCTGCAACATTTATGTTGCTGGCAACACCTAACTAGACACATGTGGCTTTACAGAACAAATGCAGAAAGATGCACGAATTTAGCAAATAAGCACGAAAATGACAATTTTTAATAAAATTTCCGATTTATTAGTGTTCGTAATTTTAAATAAATATATATTTGTAACAATTATATTAATTTCTATTCGAATCACTACAGTCGCTTGAGATGGCCAACCACTTGTATGCCTGCAACTGGGAGAGTAGTGTCAAAGTAGCAGCTGATGAAGAAAAACAGGAATCTTTTCCAATCGTTTCTTATTCCACCAGTGCTGCTTTTCGCAAGAACTTGCAATTCATGATTATGCGCAGTCAACGGCAGACATGTATAACGGCGATGAAGTTCTCAATATTGTCGCTGAACAGCTTCTCCGGTGTATGTACATATATAAGTTATAATACATTATAAACAATATGCTAATGCAATATGCTAACTAAATTGTACATATCTATAATTACAAAACATTTATGGTTTCAGTTAATCAGCTCGTCGATGAGCTATTTCGCACTTTTGCAAAGTTTCTATGAGAACGAAGAAAACTAAGCAGTGGCAGTGGCTTCATCTGCAGCAAGCATATACGCTTTGGAACACTTTTGTTGCAGAACTTGACTGTACGTTGCCTGTATGCTTACACCTACATAACATATTTAAATTCACTTTACACAAATTTTTTGTCACATTAGTTAAACAATAATAAATTAGCTAAATTTACACAATAAAAATGGTTTCGAAATATGCAATGAAATATTTTTTTGTGTTTTCGTTAACTATATACGAGCATCAATCAACGACCAAGTGATATTGCCGAAATCGCCAATCATTGTATGGGTGTGGCAGTTGACTCTTTAGCTTCTGTTAAAGCTCTGGCTTGGTGTGTAAACACTGGTACATTGATGCCCTGAAAAACAAAAGCAATTTGTTAACTTTATATGATACAACACAAATATTTATATTTTTTGGGAAACCCACCTGCATTTTCGCTGAGCGTACGAATGCTTTATTTGAGGTCACAGTCACCGCTTTCATTTGCATGCCGAAGGCGAAAATCTTCAAGCTCCTCTGATTTATTTTACCGCTAAATTTAATTACAGCTAATTCATCTGGCACCGTAGTCACATCGGGCAAAACTTCCACAATTTGCATTAATTCCGCCGCACGCTTGTGCTCTTGCGCGCCAGCCAACAAAGCGATAATCTCTTCGAAAGACTTGTATGCTGTTTCACAACAAATGAGACGCTTGCCTTAAAATGAACAAAAACTCAGTTACAATTCAAATTATTATAGCTTCCATACTACCTTTAAATAGATTATCCAAAGCAGGTTTTAATGGTGTCTGCCGCTCCTTTTCCGCCTGCTCAGTAAGTATGCCCTCACGGAATTGCCAATTACAACTGCCATTGCACACGTTGCTTATATACGCCAATAGTGTAGTTATATCTATGTTTAATGTGCTCACACTAGAAATATCCGTACTCTCATTGCTCTCGGCGGGTTCCGCAATTGATGCAATTTCAACGCCGGTTTCTTGCAGTTCTTCAAGTAGCGTGTTATCAATGGTTTGACTGAAATAGAAAACCACCTAAGCGATGTGTTTAATCATCGGCAAATAAAAGAAAAGTATATAAGCATGTATGCATACTTTTGGTGGCTTAAACATGCATAAGTGTTGTGCGCTGGCATCTACAAACTCCTCTGCTTGGTCTAGTATGCTACGCGCTCCATAACTGGCCTCACCTTTTGCCGCATCAGCCAAAGATTTGGAATTACGTGCAATAGCTGTAATGATTTATTGAATATTAATTAAATTGTTAAAAATAAATTATTATTAAAATACATTTGGATTATATTTATAATTTCCACTCACCTTTTATCCACTTCAAACCATTCTCACAAACAATATCTACACGCAGTGGATTACTGCGCCCTTCCAATGGAAATCCACAATCGAGATGTACTACACCCTGCTGTAATTTCAATATTTGTACAAGGAAGGCGTAGTGTGTAAGGTTGCTACATTGAACGTGATTAATCTTTAGCTTTTCGTTTGTAATAACCTGCGAACGTTTATAAGCTCACTAAATTATTTTGCGTATTTGCTAAACAATTTTTAAGATATTCAATTAAGATAATTTACTGCAAACCATGAATGATCCATATGTTTACCTTCTGCAGGAACTTCACTTCTTGACTAATTTTTCTTTGTATTTTATCAACACCATTTATTTGTCTATATTCCTCTAATTGTGAAATTAACTCATAACCAAGCTCTATTTTCTCGTTGGCACGGTCAACAAGATCCTTAAAAGGAATTTCCTTATCCATATTAGCGTTAATTGATGCAGGTTTAACATGTGAAAAAATAAATACAATATAAACAGCTGATGCAGTCACAACTACGTCAACATTGACAATTGAAGCAGAGAACGTAAATTATATACGGTCTATGGCTGAAGGAAAGCGACACTGTTGCCAACCATACACTGAAAACTCAAAATATTTTAATATAAAAAATATAATTTTAATAAAAAAAATAAATTGAAAACTAGGAAAAATTGTATAGTATACCTCAAATTAGTTAATTTAGTCGAAGTTCAAACATTAATTTTGGGGTTAGATTAGGTTTCACACACTGATTTTTATTGAAAATCGTTAACTTATAATAAAAACAACTGATGGCATTGTTTAAAACATTAAAACAAAGACTACTCGGTATTGATTTCTTTTTATTCATTTTGATTTTATGAAATGCTATTCTTTGTAAAAAATTTATACAGTAATAGAATATTACGCATATTAAAATGAGTAATTAAATTTTTTAAATCTTTGAAACTGGCTTTAAGCCCAAAATATAGAAGCATTGTTTCAGTACCGCAGCCGTAGCCTCGCACAGCAAAATGCGGCCTCGATTGACCTTAACAATTTCGCCACTCTTATTTTTCTCAATACAGTAGCAATTGTCGTAGAATTCGGAGAACACAGTACAAATTTCATAACAGAATTCACAAAGCGTGTGCAACAGCAGGTCTTTTGAAATCTTGACCAGCACATCGGGGAACTTTAGTAGTGTCTTTGCCAATTTCCATTCCTTTTCGTGTGCCAAATCAATAGCTGTGCCACTATCCAGTATTTTAGCAAGGTCGGAGAAGTCCTCGCCACAGTTACGTGAAATTGAGCATATGCGGGTAAATGCATATAGTAGATATACGGCTGTGTTGCCGCGATCCTCCAACATCTTGTCGAAGGAGAACACATATTCACTTGTACGATTGTGACTTAAATCGGCATACTTGATACAACCATATGCTACAGATTCTTGTGCTGCTTTCAGTTCTTCTGGTGTAAGCACCTTATCACGCTCTTTTTCCAATAATTTATCTAGCGCACGTTTTAACCCTTCGTCTAACAGATCAGACAGTTTAACTGTCTCACCGGAACGGGTCTTGAATTTTTTACCATCCTCTCCTAACACTACGCCAAAGTTCACATGGTCAGCACGATGAATTTTCGGATTAAATATGCCCGCACGTTCAGCAGCACGATAAATATTTTGCAAATGTGTGCTCTGTCCAGAGTCTACAACATATATCAGCCATTCAGCTTTTTGTTCTTCCAAACGATAACGGATTGCAGCCATATCCGATGTGTCATAGGTAAAACCGCCGTCAGACTTAACAATCGTTAAAGGTATTCCCGATGAGCTTTCGTCAGCCCACATAATTTTGCGACCATCGTCTTCCTCAAGTAGATTTTTCGATGCCAAATACTTGACAATTTCTATCATACGTGACTGATAGAAAGACTCGCCGATTGGTTCGAGTGTTACATCTAGGCGATCGTAAATTTTTTGGAACTCTTGTCGTGAAACCTCGCAAATTTGATTCCAGGCTTTTGTGGAGTTTGCGTCACCACCTTGCAAAAGTACGACACAATTGTAGGCACGCTTTTTGAATGATTCATCTTCGTCAAATCTGAAAAATGCAAACAAATGAAAAAATTATAAGTTATAATTATAATTAATTAGTTAATTGACAGAAAGGAATTTGATTTAAAAGTATTTAAAGAATTTTATAAACTGTTCTACTCTAGTAATTGAATTAAAAATACTTTGATTACCAAATTAAATTACAATATGTTTGTTATTATTGCCTTATTATTCTCACCTCTTTTTCGATTCCTTATAGAAGGCTTGTAAGTCACCAATAGGTGGACTTTCGTTTAAGAAATTGGGAAAACGATCTTCCAAGTGAGCAATAAGCATACCAAATTGCGTACCCCAATCACCCAGATGATTGACACGCAAAACATCGTGTCCCAGAAACTCGAGCAAACGACATATGGACTCACCAATAATTGTTGAACGCAAATGACCAACGTGCATTTGTTTTGCTATATTGGGTGAAGAAAAGTCGACGAGTATGCGTTGCCTTCGGCAAGCCGGTGGGTTAACGCCTTTACGCAAAAGTGTATCAATAGCGCGCACTGCATAATCTCTGAAAAATAGAATTTTTAAAATTGTTGACAGTTAAAATATAGTGCCTCAAGTACTTTTGGAGGAATATGTTGATGAAACCTGCACCAGCGACCTCGGTTTTAGCTACGAGTGGCGATTGTGCAACATTCTTAATAATTTCATTTGCTATATCTCTAGGTGATTTATTTACGCCAGCAGCTTTTAATGTTTTCACAAGTGACATTGCACTGTTGCATTGATAATCACCAAATTTAGCAGCAGTGGCATTCACCGGTGATATGATAGCTTGATTACCGGCAAGCTCTGGGAATGCCAAAGCGATAGCATTTGTAAATAAATCCACAAGATGTTCAGTTATTGAAATCATTTGGTTTACTGCAGCTGGTAATTCGGCAGGTTGATATTTTGTAGTCACTTCCGCAGTCGCTGCTAAGGTATTTTTTTCTGCCGCAATAGCCTGAATTAATGAGCAAAATAATTTAGTGATGACATACTATTATTATATGATGAAATATAACCTTATTCAAAATCGCTAAACGGTGCTTGAGCTTTGTGTTCTCGGTTTGTAACTTTACGTACTCTTCATCCTCTTCAAATTCAAGTCCCTCGCCACGTTTTGTTTTTTCTATTTCTGTGCGCAAATGGGCTGTTAGACGCTCCTACATAGGTAGGTGAAAAGTTAAGTCTCCACGTAAATAATTTTATTCAATTTAATGTTCAACACAAACCATTTCACTGAGCACAGCAGTTTCATTTTCTATTGAAGACATTTTTTGTCCTTGTTAATTCAAATATTATTAACTCCTTCAATAAAATTAAACACAAATTACTCGAATACGAAAAAACCTTACTCAAATAGCCACATGGAGCAAAAACAAAATTGTCAATGGCAAGAAATAACTCAAACAGCTATTTAAACAGCTGGTAAATCTCTCTCTCTCTCTGCTTTCAACAGCTGTATTCATTCACAATTGCACATCAAGCTTTGTATTGCGAAGCGAATAGTATACCGAAACATATTCACATTATACTTTTCGGTACGCTTATCTGCAATTAAAAATGTTGGCAAACATTAATTTTGCCCAACTAGTTCTTTATTTGTTAGCATTTTGTTCTATTAAAAATTACCGTAAAGTTCTATAAATTTCGAGCTACATAGATATAATTCACAGGAATTTTATTTCAATTGAGATGTCTTATTGAAGATTTCATAAATATTTAAGATACATACAATATTTAATTAATTTTTATTGAAGTCAGCACTTTTGCCCCCTTCGGTCACTTAAATAGCGATTATTTCCATTAGCATTAGGGATTTCGAATTGCACTTAACCCTCTCGTTCGAAAAGCTGTCAACAAAGCCTCTTGGTATATTCTGTCAAGCATATTATCACGATCATATTCAGGATTTCTAGACACTAATCGTCGTCTTTGAGCAAGAGGTGGCGAAATATTAGCGTTATTATCTGTATGACCGTCATTTTCAACGTTCCTAATATTATTACTACTGCTGGCGCTGGAGATAGGTCTGTGTTCATTATTTCCCATTACATCCGATAGCCGCAGTCCATGCTGCCGTATTGCAGCATCAATTCCAGGTAACTCAGAATGTGCTTGATTCGGCAGTGTCAATAGGTGTGTTCGACCAGCTTCTATCCGTCTATTAATGAAATTATCACATTCACATTCGAATATGGCATTTCGTTGCCATAAACGTAATTCTTCCGTATTCATTTGAACTGTAAATAAATATAAATATATATATATAATATATATGAAGTTTATTGAGTGGCCGTGTCTACTAGATATCGATATTTACAATTTGTTTCAGGTAGAGGTGCAAACAAAAAATCCATAATTTCTCTTAAAAGTAGTTTTTATATTTCATATATATAGTGTTATAACTTTACACACATAATCTAAGCACGCAATTTTATATTTTAAAGGAATTTTAACAAATTAATTTCTGTATCTACTTCTGCGTTTTGTTTTTCTTTTCTGCTTCATTCACTTGACATTTATTATTGACAATATCCTTAGAGATGTGAAACGAATTATTTGCAATTATCGATTTACGACTTGAATATGTATTTTTAAACATATAAAACTGTTTAGAAATTAAATTTTAAATTAAAAAATCGATCCATATTTTTTTTAAATTTATAATATAAGCTGGTTTATGATGGACACAGTAGCAATTGTTTATTTAAGCAGTTTATTTAAAATATATTTTATTAAGAAATTGGAAGTTCAATAATTCAAAGTGTTAATTAAATTTTTCATCAAAATTGATGGTAATTGCAGTATTTATTTAACAATATCTACGGACAACTAGATGAATTAAAAGACAAATATTTTCTTCACGGATTTATTTATCTGAAACCATCAATTTATGTATACAATAAACAATTATATCATCTCCTTAACACAACTTACTACTTATCTCAAGGTATAATATGTATAAAGAAATACAAAAACACTACAAGTCAACGCTTGATGTCCAGTAAGGTCTGAGTGGCGCTTCAGTTGGCCGTAATATTAAATTAAGTTGATACAAATTTTATAATTTTATCCACATGTTCCAAATAGCCGTTGAGACTTGATCATTTAGTTGGTTATGTGCTCGTGTATTTTTTCATTAAGTTGATTATTTATTTATTTGTTTGTGTATATTTGAACTTTATTTATTTTTTTTATTAAAACATTCGCTGTATACATTGCAATTGTGAAATGTACTCGTTTGTAGTGTGTATGCATACGGAAAAATAACGACTTTTGAACAAAGAGTAAAAGTTAAATAGGTAAGATATAGAATATGTACAATATCTGTATAGATTGCTAATATGTGTATGTAAAACGCAGTAAACTTCCATGCTCCACAACTAACAATTAATATACACATGCAAATGT